GAGTAACGCTTGCTATAAAAGCTGTGACAACTGAACAACAGAGACAAATTTAAAGGATTGCAAAAACTATGATAATGATTCTTCATGTAGCAAAATTTGTAAAAAGACAAAAAAACCTAACTGTTACCACTACGAGACTCACCCAGAGATCACCCAGGGTTCTGCATGCTGGTCTGAGATATTGAATAATCGTCCTCCCAGGACTTCAACATCCTCCAGGTGTCCTTCCCGGGCCATCAGGTAGCCATAAACATCCATTCCTGCAAGGGCAAAAAACATAACTGACATTTTACCTCAACAGCAAAAAGTACCAGGTTGCCATAATGTTGTATTCAGAGTGCTGTAGTTTAAGGTTGGAACAAGCACGCTTAACCAAGAGACCTGCAGGACCAACATTACTGTCTTTCATAGGTGGTAACAGAATGAGTTTTAAAGCTAGAAACTAAAAGACCTAAGGAATCCATTGATACCAACCATGTCGTTCTAGCTTGTCAGTAAAAGGTGCTAAATATCGCTCCAAATTCAGGCTAATTTCTAGCAAGCCCCCCCCTTCAAGCCAAGCCCACCTTTGCTAGTTCCATACAATTTGGGGCAAAAACCATACAGTTTCTAACATGCAGTACAAATGTGTTATTTCTGCCGGTTGTATTTAAATATTTCTGCCATTGAGGTCCATTAACAGTAATGGAATTGCATAAATTGGGTATGACTGAAAAGCAGTTTCATTGTAGTGAGATCACTTGTGAAAAGCCATTGCTGTATAAAATGACCTACTGTGATCTCTAGGATAATCACAGTCTCATGAAACTTTGCAACCACAGACTAGTGACCTCGGGCATTCAGAAGATGGAAGGCTTTCATAGGTATACTGGCTATGAGGGCTTTTCTCAGCAGTTTCCAGAACAGGAGTGCTTGCAATCCAGTAGCTGAAAAATACAATTCTTGCCAAAAATTTCTAATATCAAATCACAGCATGGATTTTTTATGGTGTTCCTCAAAGTCTTGATGTCTTAATGTGGTATTTTGGAAGGATTTGACCATTTTTATGAATTCTCAAATTATCAAAAATGCTTAAAATGACTACTAAAACTGTGTAACAATTGGTATCAACCCCAAAAAATTCTGCATCAACCTATGAGACATAACTGAATGTCGGAAGGGCCATCATATACTTCCATCATAATATTCTAAGGCCCTATACACTCTAAGCTTTCAAAGTTTGAATAGGTGCCTTACAAAAACACAATATTTCTTACAGATTTATGACTAGAAAAACTTGAGACACTGAGTTGAGCTGCATCTCAAATTAATTTCAGATGATGTATACCACAACTATAATGCATCTACTGTTGACCTGCTATCCCCATAATTATCCCCTGTACCCCCTTTGAAAGACAAAAATGGCTCTAAGGTCGGTCTTAATGGTAAACTGATATATACAATGTCACAGTACAGGTCAGGTGCAAGGTTAATCATTACATAAATAAAACTGCAGCACACCTTTGATGAGGTATGGGTCCAGCATCTGGGCTTGTTCAAATTTGAGGATGGCATTCTTGGTGTCACCTGCCCTGAAGTAGACATCTGCCAGGCTTACCAGGAGGTCCACGTTGTCCCGCAACAGGGACTTCTTCTCAAGAGAGCTGAAACAAGATGAAGGAGGGACGGAGATATAATCAAATAAACAAGACTGTCACATTAAGAGGAACACTATATTCAGTCACTTTATATAAAACATTAGCGCTCTGCTTACCATATAGTGTTGATGGCTCTTTGATTGTCTCCTGCATGTATGAAGGCATAAGCTTTGATCCAAACAGAGAGCCAGTCCAGGTTGGGGATGCTCTGGATCACATCCATAGTCATGGATGCCACTTCAGCTCCTTTGACTGATAAAGAGAGAAGACCTAGAGGAGAAAAAAAAAGTCTAACTTGATTTAAAAAGTATTTTTCACAAACAGATCTGTCATGAGGCCAAAAAAGGACATTAGAGCAAAGTGCTTCACTAAGTCCAGGCACAGTTCTTGGTAAGCATGTGTTTGGGTGTACATACAAGAGCAGGTTAAATGTTATTTGTTGGATGAAGGTGTCTCTGTGACCATGCATACCAATGATTGCATCAAGAGCGAGGGGACACTGTCTGAGGACCTCTTTGTAGCTTGTCACTGCAGAACGCTCCTGCCCAGCTTTCCTGTACAGGTTGGCTAGCATCATGTTGATCTGAGGCCAGAAAGAACAATAACATCCATTTTATCACAGTTCTCTATAAAAGCTAAGGGACTAAAACATTTGCAGACCTCATGCAAATTTATTGTAATCTGAGGCCTTGATTACTTGCGCAGCAACATTGAGTTAATAGACATGGAGCCTATATTATAATAAAGACATACAAAGCGTGAAGAAAAAAAGATTTATTACAATAACTATGACAGTAACTGCCTACCTTTGGTGTCCTCTGTCTGGATGGGATCCCATCGAGCACTGCAATGGCATCTTTATCCAGTTTCAAAATGGTGTAGCATTCAGCGATCTTGTACTTCACCTCAATTTCTGAGGGCAAAGTCTGAAAGACAACATTGCATGTCATTCTAATTTTTTCTCTTATCATGGCAACTGACCAAGTCAGTAGTATGGTTATTTGTCCCTCAAAGTGCACAATACTGTGTAATACTATTATCAACACAGCAAGTGAAAATAAATGTAATTGCTGTGTCATCTCGGACTGTGTTGTGGCTTAAATGAAAACTTGACAATTAACAGTTTTATCTGACATACCTGTGTCTGTATGTTAGACGCAGCTCCACCGGTAGACGTGCGAACTTTAGATGTTTTGCTAAGCACCTTTTTCTGTTGCAGTGCCATGCTGTACTTGCAGGCAGCATTACGATATTCTTTATCATGAAAGATGGCATCAGCTTGGTAGACCAACAACTGGTACTTCTGGGCCGGAGAGAACAGCTCCCTTGAATCAAAAATATACAAATCACAAAGTTATTAGAATCAGAATAGACACAAAATAGAAAACGTGTCTTTACTGAACACATGATAAGGCAATGTATTAGTTGTAATAGCACAAAAACTTAAATGATCTCAATGAGTAACAGAGAATACAGAAAAGACAAGCAGAATAAAAACAGCAGATGCTTAAGTAAATGCAAATTCATAAGCCAAACTGATGAAGAACATTTTCAAAACTGAACACAACAATAACAACAAAGGCAGTGAAAGAGTCTACTGATATAAAGCACAGGGGTGTAAAGTGTAACCTATGAACTTAGTGTAAAAAGAAGAAGCATCGTGCCTCAGCTGTAGTCACGTAGCCACTGTTTTTTTATTTAGACATACTGTATCGTCAAGATAGCGAAGGTGGAGAAGAGCAAGTTATCAATAGTACATGAGGCAAGCCGTCCTCTGAATTACTCGTTGATCGGTTGAATTCACAATATTTCAAGCTACAGCAGGCACCATTAGCTATAGTGGGAGACTTTCCTATGTCTATGTCTTGGAAAACAACGTACACTAAATATCGCCCAATAACAAAAATTAAACCTTTACTGGCGTAATTGCGTGATATTATTATTTTCGAGGGCGTCTGTTTGCACTCATACAGAAGCCCAAGCTGCATTACAGCTACAACCATTAATGTTAGCTTTTATTACCCAGTTAGCTCTAGGCTATCAGTGTCTCGGTCTAACAACATAATACGCTACTGTAGGAAAGCACACTCCGGAAAATAGACGGACCCTGTTTTGACATTACTTACGGGTTGTTATTACTCATCGTTAGCAACAAACTGCTCAATATCCGGACATTAGAGTGAAGGCCGGCGGAAGCCATATCCCGTACATGATCTATGACATTCATTTTCGATTAAGTTGAGGGCTTGCTTTAGGTTTCCGTCTCAAGTTAAAAGTTTGGGCTTGTAAACAGCTAATGCTAGCTAGCTTCTGATGTATTAAATATGGCGCCGACAACCTTCCTTCCGCATAATGCTGCCTTCAGGTGTTCCTCGCAAGCTCGTGATTTCAAACACTATACTACTAAATATGACATATTCATGAAATCTGCGTCTTTGGCGAACAAATTCAGATGTTACTGGCTTTATTTTTATTTAAGAAACAGTATAGATATATAGGGTGAAAATCTGCGTAAATATACAAGAAAATCTTTTTATTCGCCACTTCACAAAATGAAATAAGGTTGCTTATGCAGGCAAATTTCCGATAGTTATAAACGCATCTTGGTATTTGGTGCAGAATTTTTTAATATGTAATATTTAAAATGTAATACTGAATTATAACAAAATGTGATACAAAAAGTCACATGCCAGCAAATGTCACTTTTTATACAATGTCCATCAGTCAGACACCTGCCGTCCAGAAACTATAGATATAGATAGATACACATACAGTATTTGCATATACAAACACATATATACACTGTCTGTTGTCAATTTACACAATTTTATATGTTGCTTTGTTTTATAATTTTATTTATGTTTATATTCTAGACTATTTTGTCTTAGTTCTCATTTTGCTTTACTTTGCTTTTGTAATTGTTGCGCTCATGATATGATAATGTAAAGAACTTGAAACTTAAAACATATCAGATGATGATATCCTTTCCCTGAGACCAACAGAAGCCTGCAGTATTTTGACGTCCCACATGTCACAGCGGTCTCTGGGAGCTGACCTCTGAGTGTACTGATATGCAGTGCATTACATATTAATGTAACTTCTTGCCAGGAGACGTTAGGAATGTTGGAAAGACCATTTCCAGGTTAGTGCCTGTTGATTTCTCGAGAAACACTGCTTTGAACACTCACACATAAACACACATAAGTCAACTGAAGACGCGCATGCGCACAGTGAAAACCAGCAGCTGAACCTTGTGTCAAAACACAGAGGGAAATCAGCAGCAGACAGCGCAGGATCTCACCTCGATTTCAGCTTTAGCTCTATTTTATTGGAAAGTGTTTGTCGACACAAAGTGATTTTCGTTTAAGTGCGCGTACCATGACCGAACAATCAGCATTACTTCTTCGAAAACAACTGGCAGGTAATAAAAAAAAAATATTGTAAGCAAATATAGGCGATATAGAGGCTACCTATCTAGCAGCTACCGTTAGCTTTTTTTTTTTTTTTTTTTTTTTTCCAGCTACGCAAAGCTATGTTTACGCCATAGGAGTAAGCTCAGGGAGCTAACCAAGCAACATAATGGTTCCTTTTATCACTGCAGTTCAATGTGTGGCTAAGCTGCTTTGCTTAGCCGGTCTGTGGTGGAAATAAAGATATATATATATATATATATATATATATTTAGAAGTATACGTGGCTCAAATATAATTGTATCTGTACCAACACTGAATCGCAACGCTAACCTTGCTAGCGGGGCTAGCAAGTTCGACATTAGTTAGCTGACGGAACAAAGGAATAATCAATCCAGGGACTCATCTGCTCTGATGACTTTAGCTTTGCTAATGATAGCTGTATATATCATAAGCCTCTGAAAGACAAATGTGCTGCTATATCAGTAGCGACCTGATTAACACAACAACCCGGCCACCCAGCTCTATAAGATAATATCTAACGTTTCTGGTGTCAAATCTGGCTCAGACTGTACCGCTAGTTAGTTAGCGGCTTTTAGTGAGGATACGCATCTCAGTGTTCAAGCCTTCTATGATGAGCTCTGCTGTTGGTTTATTTTAAGAATCGTCATCAATATTATTACTGTTGGTGTCAGTGGTGTGCCTTTTCTTATTAATGCCAGACACATGGACCTCGACACTGAGATACAAATAGCGCTGATGTGCAGCTGCAGCTTACTGACAGTAGCCATACATGCTGGTCTGCTGGCTAGATAAACCAATGATTTTTTAAACTGACATACGAGGTTTTTTTTACACCTCTGGTGTGAGTAAAATGAGAAAATATCATTTTGAATTTTAATATAATGTTCATCAGATAGAGGTAATCAGTATTACTTTACTCAAGTGCTACTCAAAAATCAAATAAGATCATACAACTAATGCAGCATTCAAGATTAGGAAAAACTTTATCACAATATTATAAGGGTCAGCACATCAGACCATGCACATCTTGTCGCAGAATTAATATATTAATAATATTTTCTCAGTTGTGCACTATAGCCAAAATGACCTACTTTGATAGCTAGACCAACTATGATCATGTACTGTACTGTCAGGATGTGGACAAGATTCAGGTTTGCCCGTGGTCCTGAATGACAGCATCCATCCACCACTGCATCCACTGATTTTAAAAAATGAGACAGGCAAACAGCCCATCCCTATGACTGATTTTGGTTTCACTGTGTGTGGGGTTGTGAATCACTGGCTTTACAGTGGTTGACTCAAATCAGTCCTTCAAGTTGGTGATTCACTTCAGCAGTGATTATTATTTTTGGAAACCACGATTTCATTCAGGGAACATTAGCCAAAATGTATATGTATGAAATAAACTTACAATAATGTGAGATTATGACTTAATCTTCTAAAAAGTGAGAAAATTATCCTGTAAACATTTTGAAATGGAAAGACAAAAAAGCAGTGTATCTATTACTTTACTAAATATTCCAATATGATACAAAACACTGAAAAATGAATGTTTCCAGATTAAATAAAAGTTTAGTAGAATGCTTCAGCACTGGGAATTGTTTTGAGGCACCTATTTTACACTTTATTTTATTGAGAATTACAACAGGGTTCTAACTGGGAGCTCATTCTTTGGCCTCAAAAATTGAAACAGGGGCTCTATAGGTCAAATCAGCACAACCCTGCTTTTCTTTTTTGAAAGTAATGGTGTTAATTAACGGGACTTACACAGCACTTACTGCATATTCATTCTGTTCAGTAGCTGTTAACCTACATTGTATCATTATTTTTTTGTGAACACAAACTCAACATTTCCTGCCACTGCTTCACAGCAGAATTTTATCAACAACAGCAACAACTAAGGAGAAAAACAAACATGCGGCTCACCTCAGGTTTACCTGTGCCTTTCATTATACTCGGTTCATCAATGTCAGAGACTTAAATGCAGATTCATTATGGTTGTGCCTTGTTGTCATTTTCCTCTGAAACTGTTTATTGTACACCGTTTTTACAGCAGCTACGTTTTTTGAATGTGTTGTTGCTGTTGAGGCCTATTGTAAAATCAATTCAAATCCTAGTTTTGTGGGTTGAAATTTTTAAACCTTTTTAATGTTTTTTTTCTGCAGTGTGTGTAAAATGACAGGCATTTGTCTTGTGCTTTGCCGTGTAAAGGTTTGCTGTTGAGGTTGAGTTAAGGTTCCAAAGCATTGTTCTTATATTCACCAAATCATTGATCACTGCAAACTATGTTTTAACACCCTCTATAAACAGGCTGTAGTGAAATATTGTGTGTGATGTACCAAGTTTTAGCAATTAGCCTATTAGATGTCACCCCTTTCATCATTGTCCCTCCTGTTTGTCTTTTCAAGGGATTTGTCTTTAACAACAAACAATTTTAAACACTGACATTTCCAAAATCTACCCAGTAATCTTTCCCTGACGACTTTCTTGCTCCAACATGTAGACCTGTCACTTTTGTGAGATTGCCATAGTTGTGTTTATTTTCCAGTTCATTGTATTAAAAAATACCTTATGTCTCTTTTTTCAGAGCTCAACAAGAACCCCGTGGAGGGCTTTTCAGCTGGTCTGATAGATGATGATGACATATATAAATGGGAAGTTGTGATCATTGGTCCACAAGATACCCTTTTGTAAGTTAAATATTTGGGAATCATGTCTTTGGTTGACAAATGTATAAATGTATTTAAAAATCATCATTTCTCATTTCTGTCTCCTTGCTCTGTTCTTTGCATTGCAGTGAAGGAGGGTTTTTCAAAGCATACTTAACCTTTCCCTATGATTATCCACTGCGGCCTCCAAAGATGAAGTTCATCACTGAAATCTGGCACCCAAATGGTAAACACATTCATCAGACTCTTTGATGTTTATTTACTTGAAACTGAGGATGTCAGTTTCACTTAATTTTGCTTACAGAAGCACAACACTCAGTTAATTTTTAAGAAAAAAAACCCCCCACAAAATAAGTGAAATACCAGAGCTGTTTTCCTTTTAGCCCGCTGCTCTATTGACTCAGTGGGCTTTAGCACCGCATTTCAAAATGCTATCCATTTAGAGGTGGTGAATTTTAATGTTTTATGTTGCAAATGTATTGCCTTTTATTTTCTGTTGGCTATGCTGCCAGACAGCAGGCTAACTGTGTTAACATGCAGAAACATGGTGCCCTCTGCCTGCCCTTCAGTCCACACTGGTTAGCTAGCTGCTCTGCACTGTGCACCAGCCAGGCAGGAGCTAGCTAACTACCGCACTCTTTGGGCAATTACCATTGGTAACACAGTCCTGACCGATAATGGTGGGCGGCATTGCTATGGAAACATGGTGGCCACACCACAGTCTCCCCACAGGTCGCCCATATGAGGAAGCAGCTTGATTTGAAACTGCAAACCCCTTTAGTATTGTTAACAATGTTAGCACTGCTAGCTGTGTTGACAGAGCTAAAAGTGAAAACATACTTAACAATGTTTAGGCCATTTTGGGGTTCAAAACTAAGCCCCTTTCTTAACAGGGTGACCAAGGGGGAGACCAGAGGGTGTTACACAGTGCAGAACAGCTAGCTAACCAGTGGAAACCAGATTAACTGTTAACCATTGACTTCCCAACTTCAAATCCTTATTGCTATCACTTGGTCTGGACAATTAAATGAATTTGTGCTGTTTTATTGAATGATTTAACTTTTTTTGTTTGTTTGAATAGTAGACGAGTAATCCAGATTTTGAGTGTCCTGACATCACATTGTAATGGCTGCTGTTAAATTCATGCTCCCATTCTCTGCAGTTGCAAAGAACGGGGATGTTTGCATCTCAATTCTGCATGAGCCAGGAGAGGATAAGTTTGGTTATGAAAAGCCTGAGGAGCGCTGGCTTCCCATCCACACAGTAGAGACAATCATGATTAGCGTTATCTCCATGCTGGCAGACCCCAACAGCGATTCACCAGCTAATGTGGATGCGGCGGTGAGTTACACTACTTATCCCATTTCCCTGACACTAGAAATCCTCTTTTTATTCTTGTTCTCATGGCAGTTCAATTAAATTGAGGATGTGTCATTGAAAGAATCTTATGTTGCCCCCACAGAAAGAGTGGAGGGAGGACCCTAATGGTGAATTCAAGAGGAAGGTGGCTCGCTGTGTAAGAAAAAGTCAAGAGATGGCTTTTGATTAGGAGTTAATTGTAAATTCCAGGGTAGGTAAATTGTAATGTTTCAACTAAGTAATCGTCACATATAAAACCCTGCTTCTGAAAGTAAAAGTAATTATGGTGTTCTCTTCTTTTCAGATAAAGGAAATGCCTTCAGAGGGAAAATTTCAGCAAAAGGCTTTTGCACCCCTTGTTTTGCCAGTCAAAGGAATTGGTTGTCTTCAACCATGTTTCTGTGAACGGTTGTCATTTTCCGCAAGATGAGCCAATTTGAGAACCCTACCAGCGAAATTAACCTGTTTCCTACCTGGAATTGTATATTTAATTTTATTTATTTTGAGAAATTAATGATGTAAGATATGTCACTACTGTAAATTAACTTGCTTTTTTATCTGCTGCTGAACAGTTTCTACTTTATACCAGGTTTCTTATGCAATTTAGTGGTCAAGATTGTGTAAAACAAAATGAAAACCCGTCACCATTAGGTCATCACTTGTCCTCCCCACTGAATACTTACCACCAGATTAATGTCGGCCCAACAAATCTTTGTCAGTAGATGTGATTATTTTCAACACTGTCATTGAATCACTGTTGCCTTTTGTTGGCTTCACTTCCTCACAGTATGTGTGTTGATTAGAGGGACAGGTTGAGGACTTTTAGGGTTGTTTTTTTTTCTTTTTTTCATTTGGTCTTAATTTTCTGAGAAACAGCCTTCTGTTAGCATTTTCTTCTTATACTAGTGTACAGCTGCATGCAAACGTTGGGCACCCCTGGTCAAAATATAGTGTACTGTGAATAGCTAAGCAAGTAAAAGATGACCTGATTTCCAAAAGGCAAAGCGTTAAAGATGGCACATTTCTTCAATATTTTAAGCAAGATGATTTTTTCTTTCAATCTTTTGCAGTTTCTAAAAAAACTAGAAAGGAAAAGGGCCTGAAGCAAAAGTTTGGGCATGGTCAGTATTTATTAGCGTCCCCTTTGGCAAGTATCACAGCTTCTAAACACTCTTTGTAACCAGCTAAGAGTCTTTGAATTCTTGTTTGGGGGATTTTCACCCATTCTTCCTGCAAAAGGTTTCTAGTTAAACTTAAACTTAACTTAGTTCTGTGAGATTCTTGGGTCTTGCATGCACTGCTTTTATGCGGTCTATCCACAGATTTTTAATGATGTTTAGGTCAGGGGACTGTGAGGGCCATGGCAAAACCTTCAGCTTGCTCCTCTTGAGGTAGTCCATTGTGGATTTTGAGGTGTGTGTAGGATCACTGTCCTGTTGTAGAAGCCATCCTCTCTTCATCTTCAGCTTTTTTACAGATGATGTGATGTTTGCTTCCAGAATTTACTGGAATTTAATTGAATCCATTTTTCCCCTCTACCTGTGAAATGTTCCCCGTGCCACTGGCTGCAACACAAGCCCAAAGCGTGATCGATCCACCCCTGTGTTTAACATAATCAGTAAAACAGTGCACCACCACTCCAGTCTGATAAATCTTCCTGCAGGTCTTTTGCAGTCAAACAGGGGCTTTGATTAGTCTTTCTATCAATCCTATGAGCAGCTCTCTTGAAAAGTTTTCTTGGTCTTCCAGACCTCAACTTGACCTCCACAGTTCCTGTTAACTGCCATTTCTTAATTACATTACAATCTGAGGATACAGCTACCTGAAAACACTTTGCTATCTTCGTATAGTCTTCTTCTGCTTTGTGGGCAGCTGTTTAGAAGAGCCCATAGCTGATGATTGTTGGGACAAGGTTTCAGGAGTCAAAGTATTTATAAAGCTTTGATATTTTCATGACTTGGCCTTTCATAAAAATGACTGTGAACAAGCCAGAGTCCTAACAAGCTAATTCTGGCCTGAGACCCTGTTAAAGGTTGTCTGAGAGCTCAAGTATTTTGGGGTGCCCAAACGTTTGATTTGTGTGCCTTTTTCTTTTTTTTTTTCATTCTGAATTTGTATAAAACCAAAAAAAAACAAACTATAATCTTGCTTGAAATGTTGAAAAGCATGTTTCATCTTTAACTTCATGCCTTTTGGAGATCAGTTCATCTTCTACTCACTTAACTAGTCACAGTAAACAAAATTTTGACCATGGGGGGCCAAACTTTTGCATGTTACTGTAAATCTACGGGATATAAAACCATGACTCTCAAACCTGCATGATCCCCCTCAAACAGCTCATGTATTGTTGCTGTCTGTAGATGTAAATGGAATGGCGTACTCAGTGATTTGAGAGTTATTGTTTTATAATATATTGATTTGGACAAGCGTAGCGAATGGTAACAGAAGGTTTGTGCCAACTTCTCAGGAACAAAGGGTCTCGATTAGTAATCAGTGTGGTAAACCTCAAATATTCCTGAGCCTCTTCTTTAACACATGGTCAATGAAGATATCTATTATTATCACTTAGTCTAATGTCTTTTCACAACATTATTATAAATCATGGACAACCAAATACGGTCTGTGAAAACAGCCGAAGCTGTGATTAGTCCATGTGTACTGGTTAACTTGCAACTGAGCTTACCTCAGTTTAAAGGTTAACACATTTGAAAAGGATTATGGTTGTTTGAGTTCTTAATATATTAACATGGGGAAATTTTAGGGGCTCCATAGTAGGATTAGGCTAGTCGTTATTTTGTTTTGGCACATTAGGCTTTTGATCAATGTGTGGCTAAAGGATGATGTGTAAATTACACTCACTTGTGGGTTTAGACCCTGAGGGCTTTGGGTAGATTATTGAGTTCTGATTGGTGCATACTTAGGTAATATTCATCACATTTACATAATCACTGATTTTGGGTTGTAATTCTTGATAGAGACTTGAAGTTAACTCACCACTTACTAGAGTCTCAGTAAGTGTTCTGATGGGAAATGAACACAATCCCCCATCTAGGTTTTATTTTGAAAGGATATACACAGTCGTGTTTGGGTGGAGTCTGGAAACCACTGGCTTTTGTTCACTTTCATTGATGGTGTTGCTGACCATTAAGCCATTAGAACATCTATTCTGAATTATGTTATACATGACTGATCTGTGACTGACATTGAAAAACCATCTTTTGGCGCATGCAATCAGGTTTGAAGGAGTTGGGTATGTTTAAATATGATACCATTGTTAGTACATTCTGGGTGAATGTGATGTGTACAGTTAGTAGATTTCTGTCAACTTTATGATCACATAACTGCTGTTGACATTACCTTTTTAAGTCAGAATTTTCTAACCTACCATGACCTCCTCTGACCGGTGTTCACTGTATTTGCACAGATTCAGTGCGTTTGAAATGTCATTAAGCAATACGCTCTGAAAATGGTGTGTCCAGGTAATCCACCCTAATGCCATTATTTGTTTTTTTGTTGTTGTTTTTTTCTCATTTTGTGTCAATGCAATGTATATTGGACATTATGCTCAATAAAGTGTGTAAACAGAGTGGCCTGTAGTTTTGTTTGTGTTTTACATTTTAGATGAGAACACTCTGGGTTCAAGTATATAGACCTCTGCACTGTAATTGGAGCCCTGGTGATAGTGTCAGATTTCAGGGTTGGCTTCATTTCATAGACTCTGCTGGCTCCAACACTTACTGAGCTGATAAAGATGTTACCAACATCTCTGATATATCCACAGGGAATACTAGGATTGTAAGTAACAATGAGAAAGCGGGTAACATTTGTTGAGCAGCTGAAAACAGACAACCTGTTAAAAAATGGAAGTGGTCACATCTTAATGAGGTAAGACCACAATTTGAGTGGTAAAATCTTAGATGGATTAATGTAGATGATGGATTTATGTATTGTGAGATTCTTGATTTTTTTTTTTTAAAGGTCTGCAGAATCCAACCAGAGATGCACAGATGGTGAGTCAAATATTCCTTTAAATGCTAACTTGACATCAATAAACCTGTTGTTTTCATTATTGAATTGCCAAATAGATTATTTGAATGCATATTATATAAAATACAATTGTAGATGTTTGCTCACTAGCTGATCACTGAACTAAACCCCTCGGTCTCAGAGTAATGGTCCTTTGTCTTGTCTCATTATTTGTGTAAAAGAAGCCAGCATTAAGTAATAGTCCTACATTCTTCTCACATAAAAGTGCAAAAGTACAAGTATCAAATGTATTTAAAATGTATGTAATATTTTTTGAATAAACACAGATACATTAACATGTAACTAACAACATTTCACTGTTGTAGCTGGTCAGGGGGAGCTAATTTTAAAGGGACAGTTCACCTCAAAATCAAAGGTACTTAATTTTCCTCTTACCTGTAGTGCTATTTATCTGTCCAGATTGTTTTGGTGTGAATTGTCATGTGTTTGAGATATCAGTCAGAGAGATGTCTGCCCTGTCTCCATTATAACAGATGTAGATGGCACTCAGCTTGTGGTGCTGAAAGCACCAAAAATTAAAAGACAGCAATGTGTTTTTCCAGAAATAGTGATCTGGTTACTCAAGATAATCCCCAGACATTGTGAGCAGTTTCATGTAGGAACTATTTTCCTTCTACCAAACAACATCCGCTAACCGTTTAACTGCGGAGAGGAAAGTGTGCGTCTACTGCTAGCTCGCCTAGTACCACTAAGCTAGCTAACGTTACAGCTCAAATGAAGAGAACACTATTAATGTAAATAACTTGGGTTGCCATGAGCATAAGCCCCTCGTCCATGAGCAGATGCACGCTTCCTTCTGTGTGGTGATACGTTTGGCAGGTGTAGTTTGGTAGAAATAAAAAGTTCCTGTTCACAGTATTTTAAATATACTTTGAGCTTTGAACACCACAGCTGAGTGCCATCTATTTCCATTATATTCCAGAGAAGGCAGACATCTCTTCAACCAATATCTCCAACCCTTGGCAACTTACACCAAAACAATCTAGATTAATGAATGGTACTACAGGTAAGAGGAAAAATATGTATTTTTGATTTTGGGGTGACCTGTCCATTTAACTACAATATATACTGTTTGGTAGCCTATTCTGAAAAGTAACTATGTCAAATAAATAAATAAATTTTTAAAAAGTACAATTTTTGCCTCTGAAATGTAGTGGAGTATAAGTATACAGTAGTATGAACTCCAAAAGCACAAGCAAAGTACAAGTAGGCTACCTCAAATTTTTATAGTACAGTACCTAATACAGACATAAAGAGCTCATGTGAATACACAACAGAGAAACTGTCCTAAAATATTTAATTTTACTGTTACATAAACACATGATTAATATTTTCCAGTAGGGAATATTATGCTTAAAATGTGCTGCTTAAATAACACCACAGATCTGTAATAAGGTGTTGTTTTGCTGCATGTTGCATTTGGCAGGCTTTGAATGTCTATCTAGTCAGCAAGTGAGGGAAATGCGCAGAGGAACAACTGTGAACGTGTCTGCAGGCAGCCAGCACATGAAGACAATACATATTCCCAAATCTATGATGTCTGCACCCTTCTTACAGGTAACCACACTTTTTCTTTTGGTATATTTCCTGTCAAGACCTTTCAGATGGTTTGAAAGAGGTAATTGTGACATTCCTCATATGTAACAACATTACTGTCATTCTGCCATGTATAATCACATCAGTTGTTGTTTCTGTCCCAGCATCCAGCCCTTACAGCTGGACAGAGACGCTACCTGTGCAGTATAGCAAACGTTTATAGTACAGAGCACATGAGGCAGCAGATGAAGCAGCACTATTTCAATGTGCTGCACACATGTGTTCAATCAGGTGTGTATCTAAATGTTTCTCAGACATGAGCTTTGACCACTACCATTCATCTCATGCTGTGTTTTGTATTTCCTATAGGTCAGAATCCCACGTGCAGAAGGAGGTATAGGATTCATCAGCACAGAGAAAATAGTACGTTCACAAAGGATGCAGAGAAGAATGTAGCAAGAGCAGATCCTCAAGGGCAGAGGAAACGCAGCAGCACAGCTAATTCTGATATCATACTTCCAAAAATAGTCAACAGATGACAGACTTGTTCGCAGATGGGTTTACGATTTTGAAGGCATTAATTACCTCATAGTTAGTCTCTGTGTTGATCTTTGCATCAACACCTGTTGTGTTATTGCACATATTTTCAAATATGACTTTAAATGTTCTCAACCAAGAATTGTGTGTTGTCATAGTTTTATGCAGACCTACACATATTATAGGCACCACTGCATTTGGTGCTGTAGTACACCTCATATTTATATTTTATCTGAATGTCAAGTTGTAGTAGTTGTCATAATATGTACTTGCATGTATTCTTACAGTAATATTTACTCACAAAATGACCATTTGTATATCAGTTACTCAACCCGTTTTACACTGAATTTGTGAAGAACACTTTGTTTTTCTTGCATGTCTCCACAGTGAATGAAGAATCCAAAAAACGCTAAAATCCTGATTAACTGGAGTAAATGGTGGTCATGTAAAACAAAAGCAAAACTACATCAAAACATCCTTTTACAAACTGAGCAGTATGGAGAAAATAAAATATCACAATATGTTTGACCAAATACCTCAATATGGATATCTCAGCTGCATTGTAGGTTTGACTATTGGTGTTTTCACAAAATAATAACACAAGATTTTTGATAAATAATCATCAGTAATGTGATTATATGACAGATAATATGGCGAATAATAAAGCAGCTAGAATAGTCTGGTAGGTTCAGAAAATTATATCACACTGCTGGAAAAAAGACAACACTTCCAATATAATATCCAAAATCTAAGACGATATCTAGTCTCATATCATTGATATCATATCTATTTATTGCCCAGCCTTATCCCAAGCAAATGCATTTTCACTAAAACACAATTCACATAAATCACTAATTAAAACAATTCGGCAAACGATTACTGTGCTTGGACAAGCATGTGCATTTGAACTCTGCTCATGCTTTCCATTGAGCAGAGTTCAAATGCATGTGCAGGAGACTTGATGCAGAAATGTTTAAACAGTAGCACAACATTTAGAGAAAATGAATGTTTGAAAAGGCCTATGACTGGATAAATGAGACTGGATTATACTGCAGGAGTTGTGTGGGAGTTTGTAAACAGATGTTTGATAATTATCTGTTTTTAAATTGTTTATTCACTGTGGAGGCATGCAAAGAACACAAAGTTTCCCTCGTAAATTTAATGTCACATAGGGCGAGTTACCAATATACTAATTATTATTTTGGGGAAAAAGTGTTCCTTTAATGATGCTGATGATTGCATAAGCAAAACACAATAATAAATATTCTATTGGATATTCTGTTGTCCCTGATCTCTTGCTGTCAGGCCTTTACTTTGGCATTATCAAATATCTAACATTACCACCTCTTACATAACTTGAGACTTGTGTGTTTTCCATTTTAGAAAACATTTTACATGATTTAGTGGAGCCAGTTTGAAGCTGAGATTAATATGATTATTTATTTCTTTTAATTTGCACCTAACAGTTTAACATCATGTTTACTATTATGAATATCATTTACCTAGGCCTACTGGCTAACTCTGGCACAATAACAGCAACATTCAATTATGTGCACCTCCTCTCGTAAATAAACCAATAAATAAACTATAGAGCCTCAGGGATAACGCTTCCCTGTAGGCCAGGGCCGAAGTTAGCATCGCCATGGTTCCCTTGACAAAAAGCCAGTGGGATTTTTCCATTGGATTTTGGATTATTGCAGAAAATAATTGCTTTGGCGAACAAAAGTCTATGGTAATTACTCCTTTTGTTTAGCAAGATAATCTAACAAATGAAAACCACCGTTATAATTATTGAAGCCTGACGCATGAAGCTAATGTCAGGCTATAAACAAACTACACTGTGGCCGCAAGACTTCACATCAAGTTGCGGCACTACAACAAGACTGTAAAGGCATGTTCGGCACAGCTTGGCGAGAGGACCATATGTAGTCTCATTTATAGCCACTTGTTACCATCTACCTTTTTGACATAGAAACATCAAAATTCATAGTATATTATTTACTTAAAGGTAGGATCTGAAGGATTTTCAAACAAAACAAAATATAGACATACACAAATGAAATCCTGCTTAATCATCACCTATGGGCTTCTACTCGTGTGGTGGTGACTCTGTTTGCAGAGCTCCTGCCCTTTAACTGTATTTTGATGTTTCTGTGAGCTCGGACCGCGAGCCTTGCCCGAACCTCTTCTGTGAAGCCTTCTTCGGTATCTCCGGGCTCCGTACACCCGGGAGAGTTGAGCCTGATAGGAGGGGCCGAATTTGAATGTGTGTTTACAAACAGCAACTGGAAAATCCTCCAGACCCTACCTTTAAGTATTTGCTTAAGTATTTTATGCCGTAGAACAAAACGTGAAAGCTTGTGTTAACCACAGACCTTATTTCACACATCTAACCAAATACCCATTAAAAAACAAAAAAACAATAAAACTGACTTCAAGAAAAGGGAGCAAAGAGTGCAAAAATTCTAACTCATTTCCGTATTTTAGGACTCATTCCTGGGGCACTTAAAAGTATCTTTTTGAGGCCATTTTCTTTTAGTAAATTATATTATTAAATCTTACACTTGGTGTGTTAGGGCCCTTTTCAGGCCAACTTAGCCCTTATGGCATCATTGTATTTTTTTTTAAATTTTTTATTTTTTTAGCTAAACTAATTAGCTATGTAGCTATCAAACTGGAGAATTCTTCGTTAGCACTGGCTGCGCGCGCTGTTTGCCTGGTGAGCGTCAGACCTTTACATCAGTCATCAGCAAATATGAACTGCACTCTGGAAGGAAATGGTGTCAAAGGTAGTACTAAGTAAGACTTGCTATATGTTAAAATTGCTTTGAAGAATAATTTAAAAACTGTATCCAGAATATAAGTCATAGCAGTTTACATGAGGCTACCAAAACATTAGTTTATGGTGAAAGACTGCTTCCGTTAGCTTAGCTAATATAGCTTAACTTAGCTTCAGTCGAACTAGCTAACTTAGCCGTTGTTACAGTGAAGAGAATGACGACAGTTGACCCACTGTATATTACAAGAAAAAGCTAGCTTAGTTATAGTAATAACAGGGTGTCTGCAGATTTTAAAAGTCTTAAAATCGACACAAACCTTTAATTTATCCCTCTTCTTTTTTCTTTTTGTCAAAATGTGTCAAGTTATACGTTGAAGTTCACATTTATGCTGTTTCAAATCTTAAACCTACCACTGAACCTAATACTGGCTTTCTACTTAATGCTTGCACTTAGCAACATGTAAATTATTCTTACCTGCGATGTTTGAATAAGAAAACGGTGATTTGTCAAAAAAATAAGTCTTAACTTTGGTTAAAAATTATCTTAAAAGGTCTTAAAAAGCATAAAATTTAAGTGTCTGATACCTGTAGACACCGTGAACAGAGGTAAACATCGTATGTTGCTAACCCTGGACTCTGGTGGCATTTTGTTGTGTTGCAGCATTTGGGAAGGCTATTCATGCCCTGTCACGGATCGGTGATGAACTGTGGTTGGATCCCATGGTGAGAGGGGTGAGTAACACCAACTAAAACTGGAAGGGAAACTGTGTCTAGTTATCCCATATTCTTCTTAACCAGGGGAGTAGCCTGGAATACTGATTCTTACAGAGGACTAGTATTACTGCTTACCCCCTGTCTCTTTTTTTTTTTTTTAAATTAAATTAATGCTATTTTGAATGGAGACTCCATATTGGTTTCTTAGTGTTGGGCCTCCTGTCTCACTACAGGCAATGGCAGCAAGGAGCAGCAACTTCACTAAATCTCTCTCTCTCTCTCTCTTTGTCTTAAAGCTGGCACTGAGATCAGTGAATTCTACTCATTCTGCATATGCATGCTTCCTCTTCTCACCACTGTTCTTCCAGCACTACAGCCTGGGATCAGTGTCAGAGCAGAGCAGTGAAACCATCAAATGCAAACTGGTCATGAAGGTATATCAGTCATGTTGGACACACAGGATACACTTATTTTTTCAGGATATAGGAGACAGTAATGGAAGTCAACATGATAATGTTCTCCCTTTTAGACTCTATGATTAAAATGTTAAAATGGTGATGCCAGTCTTGTCTAAAACATGTCTGTCTGTTTTATAGTCTGTTCTTCCTCTGTTCCGCTGTTTGACTTCAATTGAGCGTAACGTGGAACGATGTCAGATATCAATCAGTACTCCCAATGACCGAGTGACAATCCAGTTTTTCTGCAGGCATGGTAGGAAACATGGCATTTTGTTTTATAAGCTAGCTGCAGGTGAAGGGGAGGTTCAGGATTTGCAGAGACATATCCTATTTGATTGTAAGGAGATTATCTTTAATCCATTTTAATGGACTTCTAATAACTTTGAACCCTTTTTCTTTACTTAGCCAGTTTTCTTGTACCACATTAAAAATGATCTCTATGCTGCAGACACTGCATTGCACATTGTCAGCACTTGGTGGCAGTGTGCTCCAAATGTCCTGTCTGTTTGTGTGATAGGCATCACTAAGACCCACAACCTGTGTTTCCAGGAAAGTGAGGCTCTGCAGGCAGTGTTTGCCGCACACCTCTGTCCCAATGCGCTGAAAGCTCCTGCCAGGTTAGCAGCTCAGTATCATCTTTTCAAGTTAGAGCCTCAACTTTCTGTGATGTACAACAAATTAAACTTCAGAGTACCGTGTGATTGAGTAGGACCCTTTTTTATCTTACAGTAGTTCTCTGAAGGCTTAGAAATCCATCTTTAAGCTCTTCTTTTCATGACAACTGGATTTACTGTGAAATTAATTAGATATATGGTAGCTGCTAGACGTAGTCAGCAGCAAATCATTTAACCAACCAGATTGACAAGAACATAAACATTAATGCCCAAAATGTAATCCATCACTTGCACGGAGTTGACATAAAACTCTCTGCTCAGTGCTTACAGTAGGTTGATTTTGTGTGGGTTTGCATTTGTTTTTGCTCTGCCTCTGCAGGCTTCTTGGTGACATGGTGACACATTTCCCAGTGTCCCAGGAGGAAATCACTTTGTCCGTGACTCCTCTGAGAGTCAGTCTGAGAAATTACCACGAGGGGGGAAATGGTGAGCTAGTGTTACATTGTGATTTGGTCTAGGTCCACAGCGTGGATAAGTGTTTGAAAGTCACTGCTGCACCAGCTTTGAGACATCTGACAACCTAACCCGATAATGCAAATACAGCATATTTATTTCTTCCACATTAAAACGAACATGTAAAAGGTTGTGCAGATACTATTTGACTTGGATGTACTTCTGTCACAGATCACCTGAAGTTTATGTACACTGAGATGTCCTTACACCCAGACGAGTTTGACTACTTTCAGATCGGAATGGAGTCGGACATAACCTTCTGTCTGAAGGAGTTAAGGGTAACAGGGTTATTTTCGGAGGCTCCTTTTATCCAGTCACATGAGAATATTATGTGTATCTTTGTGTGTGTGTGTGTGTGTGTGTGTGTGTGTGTGTGACTGACTGCCTCACCAGGAGTATTTTATGTCTAAGAGGTCATATTTCTGGTCCTGTAATCTCAAATGACCTTGCGCTCTCTGGGTCTCTGTATCATTTACATGTGAACTTTCCCCTCAGTGCTGTGACTCATCTTTATAGCAAAAATAGTGTAAGATAAATTACACATATTATACCACTACGTAGAAAAAGTAATTAAAGTTATGAGTTGTAGAAATTATAGGCTACTCATTGCATGGTTTGTTATGAAATGTTTAACTTTCACGCCAAGTCGACTTGTGTTTGAAAGTAAGAGTTGACTCAACTCAAGTTGATCTTAAACTTAATATATTTTGAGTGAAAGCTCTTATTATTATTATTATGTAATTTCCTGAGTAATCCAAAGTGAGTTCTTACAGTGTCTAAATTAACACACCACAATTTAAATTGCTTTTTTCTCTGTTTGCTTGAAGAAACAAAGCACTTGGTCATTTGAAAATCTGGATGAACAGTCCTTGTGTCAGTCTGGTTAATAAGACTTGACCTGCATTAACGTTGCCCATAACTCTTGTCCCTAATGTCTTGGAATGGTTCTTGGACACCCCGCTGTGAGGCTCCTCATTAGCCAGCCTAGTCTTTTTGTTCCTGTCGGTTTTGGAAAATCGGGTTTGGATGGATTAGAAGCCAGGCTTTGGGTTTTAGTCAGCCTCAATTTACTCAAGCATTGATATGTTTCTTTATCTTGATCACTGCAAGCATGCCATCACACTACTGTCAAAATTACCAGCTATTAAAATGTCACAGTCATGACATGGATTCACACAAGCATATATCAGTTTTTTGCCCGTAAATTGCTGCAGTTCTGTTTTTTTCCCAGGGTTTACTATCCTTTGCAGAGTCACATTGCCTTCCAGTGTCTGTCTACTTCACCGCTGCAGGAAAGTAAGTTTCCTTGCAATCGTCATTAGCTTGAGTGGCATTTGTATCTCAAGTTACAAGAACCAACGTCAGTCCGTGGGGTGCTGTACCACAGGCACTCCAAACTGAGTGTGTAATTACCACCAGATAACCTCAAATTTCTATCAACTGTTCTAACCGTGGCTAGTGAGTCTGATTACATTACCAGCCATTTTACCAATTGACCAGCTGTGCTGAGTTTTAAAACAGTACAAGATACTGGTGATTTTAATACAAGGAAATTATATAATTAGATTTCCAACACTGTCAGATATCTGTCAGTGGGTCACTAATGTTGTTTGCAGGCCTGTGTGCTTCTCCGTGGAGGATGTGGTCCTGGAGGCTACTGTGGTGTTGGCTACTCTGATTGACTCTGAAAGCAGGGGCCCCTCTCAGCCTACAGAGACGCTGGCCCCTACTACCCTCAGGTAACAAACACTGTGCTGGCTCCTGTCACACTTCTTTAAATCCCATCTGCAATAATTGGCATCTAATCAATACGGATGCACATATGGGAGTTAGATTTATTTTCTTGTTATTTTGACACGGCAGCATTCTTGTCACAACTTAAGTCTTTCTGGGCCCAGTTTCTCAGATCTGCTGTGACGGTGTATCCCAGACTATAATTGAGTCTTCCCACAGGGCTCTACCTGAGCTTCTCTCCTGGCACTCAGTCAAGGCAGTTTGCCCTCATTGGCTGTTTTTAGCTTCCTAAGAGGGCGTAGTGTTACAGCAAACAGCCTTATGTCTGTAACAGAGATAAATAGGGCAAGTCCAGGACATGTGGGGCTACGTTAGAAGCCTGTCAGTGTGACAGTCTGTAATCCTCTCATCTCCGCTATGCCAGCTTGCTTGGCTGTTCTGCCAGTGTCACTGTCCTGCTCTGCTAACTCTCTCTCTGTTGTACTGTGCTTTGGGCTCTGGGTGGATGACCGTTAAACATCTGGGTCATTTGTACCTTGGTTTGCTTGTGTGCACTGCTGGGACTCAGCAGAGACCTGATGAGCAGGCAGTTCTTCAGTGCTCCTGTCTCCACTGCTCAGGAATTCAACTACAACCTGCACTCCTTGACCTTTATTTTGTTTTGCCATAAATCATTCAGGCTGTTTCAGGACAGATGCAGTACTGTTTTTTCATGGCATGCTCATAACAAAACTTGCTTGTCTGCTGCCTCTGGGGCCTTTTGAAGTACATCTGAATAGCCTGAGGTTGTCTTGAGACTTTTCAAAACTATCTTGCTCTCTTCTTCCTGCAGCCCTGCTCTTTATACTTTTGATCTGGTGCTTCTCTGAGGTTGATGACATGCAGTGTGGTTACATGCAGACGGTTGTTTTATTACCGTGCTTAAGGACACTTTCAGTATCAGCTGATAGCTACACACCCTGTTCATGAATGTCTTTGTAAAGGTGAATAAACAAAATGTACTTTAATATTTTCAAGGAATCTGAAGGTATTTAACAACATCATTTTGGTTATTGAACACATTGTTCAGACACCTCCTCCACCACCTAGTGTTCTCTCTGAGTACTATTTTAACAATATGATTTTTAATGCACTCTGTTGTATCTGTAGTGTTTGAAAAAATAATTTTTGATATGGAAGACAACAAAGACACAAAGTCCAAATGTATAGTCAGTATATTTAAATGTTTCTTAATCATGTCCATAAAGATGACCTGTTTTTCAGCCTTGTGGTTGTAGTGTTGTGTGAGATTTCCTCTCCACTCTTTGTGTAGCTCTCTTCTTTTCTCTGCTTCTTGTTCACCATTTCATGGCATCAACACTATCTTAACTCCCTCTACTAGACATGCCGATATAACCAACACCTCTTCTTACCAGGCTCAGTGATAATCTACATGTTCAGAGTCAGATCACACTGACACAAACTGTGACTTCACTATGCTGTCAGCACGGGGACAGAACTGTTAGTGTGCTGTCATACAACATGGCACCACATACCACAATTACACTGCACAGTGTCATGACTGTTTTTGCCAGCAGAGGAACTGATCATTAGGTCTGAATACTAAAAAAAAAAAAAAAACATGATAAGCTTGCCGCTGAGAGTTGTGTGTTGCCGCCTGTTGTGTGTGTTCCCAGTTGTGCAGATGCCGCTGTTCTACCTGTGGGTTCATGTGAGGCAGACAGCAGTAAGGCTCAGGGTATTCCTGCTGAGATGGAGATGGTAGCCTCCAGCCAGGGCAGCCCTATAATCAACCCGCCTGCTCTCATGCTGCGTCTGCCTCAGACTGACAACCCAGATGGACTCGGTGTAGATGATGAGGCCTGTGCCAGTGTTACCACAACTCCTGCTTCCTCCATGGTAACAAGAGCTTCCTGTTGGTGGTTACTTTCATGCCTCTTTGCCGGTGTTGTTGGGTTGCCTGTCCGTCCCATTCTTGTGAATCTCAAACACATTCAGAGAATTTCCACAAATCTGGCACGGATGTCCACTTGGACTCAAGGATGAACTGATTAGATTTGGTGGTTAAAGGTCACTGTGACCTCACAAAACATGTTTTGGGCCATAACTCAAGAATTCATACCCTAATTATGACAAAAGTACATACAAATGTCTGATAGGATAAAATGATGAAGTGATGACATTTTAAATCCAAAAGGTCAAAGTTCAATTTCACTGTGACATCATAATGTTCTACAAAAATATTTTCTGGCCATTAGTCAAGACCATAACTCAGGAACAGGAGGAGAGACATTTGATGAGACACTAAATTAGTGACACTAATCTTGGGTGCCAACCTTGACACTGTACCGAATGTATAGATGTTAAGCATCCACATGCCGTATATCCAGTGGAGTAACATCCATATTTGAAGCACTGGCAACTGTCATGGCTTCATATGAGTTTGGACAGCCATGGATGTAAAGTGTAACTGCAACTTAACTGGTTGTTAAAGGCATACAGCCGCAAGGTGGTAATTCTGGTTTACTTGGAACTCTGTATGGCCTCTACTTGTTCCCTGAGGCTTGCAGGCTTTACAGTTTTGACAGGATGGGTGGCATTGTGAAGTGCCAATGTGCTTCAAGTGTTTTACTTTTACCTACACTGGAAGTATGCCCAGAGCGCCTGTCCTGTCACACCTCACCATATGAGGTGTGACTGAAGAAGACAGGAAAAGGGAAACTGGATGTGAGGGATGGGCAGTCTATGTTGTCCATCATCATGATGAATCTAACCTTTCTGTTGAAATGGCAGTCAAACCCAAAGTTTGTTCTTCCTGTTCTGGTATTGTTTCTCACTGTTGAAATATTTGGTCTATAGTTTGCACTTCCTTAAGAGGTGAATATTGGCTTGTCAGACCAGTTTTCTAGAGACTTGATGCAGCACTCTTTCATTGCATTGAGGATATTCACATTGACCTGTTTTTCTTCTGCAAAAAATAATGAAAAATCAAAATAAGAAAGGACACAATTTCTGAAACTGTACTCTTGACATATTTTATCTCCTTTTCCCTGTAGATCTGTTCTCTCCTGTTCAGGGCCTTATCTTCAGAGCAGGACACTGATGGTTGTGCTGTCAGGCTGCCTGTTCTGGCATGTTACAGTGATGGAGAGGAGAATGTGGAGGAAGACTTTACAAGAAGCCCTTCACTCTAAGAACAGAGCTGTTACACACTTTTGTGATGCCATCAAAAGTAGGCCATAACAGTCAAACATAGTCCAAATGATAACTAAAATAATTTGTATTTGATGTACTTTGTATTTTAAGCAGTTTTAAGTATGTTGTTTTATAGCTCACGTGTTGATTTGCTTGCTTAAATTGATTTCAGTATTGACTCACAGTGTTCAGTTGTAAATTGCTAAGAGAATGTATTTAAAATAGTTATTTCTCAACGAATATGTCAGTGAATTTTCTATGACAGTTTCAGTGTGTGAAATGCACTTGTCACAGCATGTGAGGAAAAAGACTATTTGCTCTTATCTGTGAAAATATTACTTCATCTTGACGATACCACACCTGTCTGTTGATGGTGACTGGTAGTGTGCCTGGTGTCTGAGGAATGTGGGAGTACACATGCACAAATTGTACAAGGTGTTCTGAAGCATTATCTTTTTTTCTGGCCTGAACAGCCTCAGTTCAGTTCAGTTCAGTTCAGTGAAGTAAACACTGGATCCAGAGCTAAATGTGATAATGGGAAAATACAGCCCTGGAGGCATTCAGCCTAGAAGAACAACGCCTCTGCAAAGTATTGTTTAATACTCATGTACCAAATAGTGTTCTGATATAAAGCCAACTGCATATTTGAGCTGATATCAAAGTCATAAAGAACAGCAGGATAATAAATACTATACTCTTTATTTAAATATTGTACAGATTTGAAAATGTTTTTTTTTTACAGAGCTTAGATCTTCATTGAACTGTACACCCAAAATATATATAGACACATGCTCTGGTTGTAACAAAGTGTTTTGAAGAGGAAGATGAGACAACAGGGACAGGTGTCAGGGCAGGTATGAGTCAGGAAGCAGGAACCACAAAGCTTACAGTGGCAGTACCATCTGACTGGGAGAATTGCTTTGTAATATCGTTAAGGCTGCTTAGATTGTCCTCAGTGCTATAACACTTAAAACTCACATTTTTGACCATTGACTGCTCTTCCATGCCCATCAGCATCATTTCGCAATGATCGCTTACACTGCAGTCTTCCAGTGGGAACTTGTCAGATTAAGTAGGGAAACAGTCCATTAGGTAGTGCAGATTGTAAACAGTGATCTGAAGATCCTTAGGGAGGATTTCTAAGCATGCGATGGCTTTATCACTATTCCTAAGTTCCTGACTGAGTGCAGAGAAGCAGATTTCAGGAGTCAAAAAAGGTTCAACATACTGTAGGTGAAAAGATCTAGTGTTAAGAAAGCAGGGCATGATGGGAAAGCTGTTTTGACTCTTATGGCTACTGAACAGTTTGAGGCTTTGTGCCCAGTACCTAGCACGTTATGGGGGGTTCAAGAAATTATGCACGTTTGCCAGTATCAATGACACCTGATACAAGGCACATCATTAGAATATTACACAAAATAATTTTAAGAAATGTTTTTTACTTTGGGTAAAAGTTGTGGGAAATGCAGAGTGCAAATCTGTAACCATGTAATGGAAACATAATGACCGTTTTGAAACCTGCAGTGACCTGACTCATGAATGTGCCGTTGGAGCTGTAGAGCAGAAGGAGAGGGGAAAAAAAGGAAACGCTGATTGTGAGCAATGGTTTCTAAAGCTACTCTGATGCAGCGATCAGTCCAAAGAAATTTAACAATCCCACTGAACAAAGAGGTTACAAAAATACATTTGGTCACCTTACCGACTTCCACTGTGTTGAGCTTTTTCAGATATGCTTCTTAAGCTTTTGTGCGTTTAAGGCTGCGACACCGATTCAGCCCAGTGGAAATGGAGGAGTCTGTAGCCTTCACATCCATTTCATAACACCAATTACATGTATCAAAAGACGCACTGACAAGCACATGAGTGCAGTCATCACACACACACACACACACACACACATATTCATAGACACATCACATGTAATCACAATCAAGACTTCAGCAGCAGCTGTGACATTAAAGGGAGGGCACCAGTTTGACACGATACATATCTGGCAAGGCTTCTGAGCTATAAAATCCTCATCTTAACAGCCATGAAGTAACAAAATGTGTGCAAGACTTGAATTGCACTGGTATGGAAAAGGCAGCTGCTGCTCTTCTTCATGAAATCTTGTTGGATCACCCTGCCAAGAAACTAACCACAGATGTAGAAATGTCACATACACTCATTTCTTGCAAATATTTAACAAAACATCCCAGAACAGCACACCGGTCATAATCCTACTATCACACATATGCTCCCTGCACCCACATACAAGGTTTCAGGCCCTTTGACAAAGGTTTTTTTTTAACTACCACTGTATCATTAGGAACATTTGCTTGCACAAGGCAGCCCACTTATTGAGCCCTAATGCTGCCATTTCCTGTGCAGTTCCCTCCATGACACGACTGGTGGACTGTATCTTTCCCTTCCAGCAGCCCAGCATGGGGCCGCTTTAACGGTCTGACACCTACCGTCTGGCTACATCTGCCTCTGAATATCGACTTCCTCCCGGCCCAAACCACCTATCAGAGAAAGACGACTTATCCTCCTCAAACAGAATCCTCATCTCCAACGTGCCCAATGACTGCTTATCCTTGGCAATGGGATTATCCATTGAGCACTGGAACACTGCAAAGATGCCAACAGTGCAGCCTGGCCAAGAGGATGTGTTAGGTCTCTAGTCCCCATTATTCAGTTTTTTTTGGGGGAATGGGGGTCATGGTCAGCTGGGGTTGGATGAGGCAGAGTAGAGCCAACACATGCGGGGGAAGCATCTGGTCTCAGTCCTTCATCCTGGCCAGCAGGAATCAAAGCAGTCCATCACCTGCAGAGGCAGATGCCCCCCTGTCACAGCTCCACACAAACTCTAGTCGGTGTATTCTGCCACTATGGACAGCAGCACTGTGATGTCATCTGGCTTTCCTCCTTAACAGAAAAGAACAGCATTCTGTTAGGATGTTGCTGAGTGAAAATATTGTTTTAAACATTTCAACCTTAAAAATATTCATGTCATGTACCATTGTCCACCTATTTGATAAAGCTTTGAGGAGCAACAGGACGTAGGCTTCAGTTTCCATCAAGAACTGAGACACCTACCTCTTACATTCAGTCCGTTGTCACAGGCAAACTGTGCAAAAGGCGACATGTAGTTGGGGTCATACGCCAAGACGTGGGCCTGCTCTGCGATGCTCCGGGCGGTCTGCTGGATGCTCTCATAGTTTGAGTTCTACAGAACAAAAACATGAAGTTGGTATTCCAAGCATATTTCTAATTCCACTTCCACCATTAAACCTGTTTAGATCTCAGTGTGACTCACCTTGAGTTTCTTCAGCTCTTGTAGGATCATGTAGTCAGGCATGTTGTCAAAGAGCCCGTCAGTGGCAGTGAGGATGATGTCGCCCAGCTGGACATCGAAGGAAGAGCTATCTGCCGCGTCAGGGCTGTAGTCACAGACACAGTAAAGTAAGGCAGAGAACAATGCGTGCAATGATTTGGGTAATGTAAGTAATTCAGGATATAAAATGTGTTTTATCTCACAGTGTAAACTATTAATACAAACCAACACCAGCATCAGCAAGGTTGTGACCGCATTAATTCCTCCTGCTTAAGCTTCTTCTCTCTCCCTTTTTATACCCCCGTCCAGGAAATCTGTCCCGTCTGACCCGGTATATTAATCTGAACCTCTAACCCAGCTTCTCCTCTACTCGAGGAATACTCAGCGGTTACTCTGCAGAAGGAAAAGCTACACTGCCAGTGCCAGTCCTTATTGCTACTGATACTTAACCTTGGTAACAGAAACTCAACCACATGTGCAGGACGGGGATAAATTCAAGGAATCATCATGGGGCGGGGAGGTTTGGATAGGACATTCAGGCCCAATAAAACGTGCTACCATTATGATGATGGGTGCTACAAATATAGACAGGATATATTACCCAGTATGCTTAGTCTGTCAGGGTCGAGTTCACTTCTTGGAAAGTGCCCTTACTCTGTTGCACACCCCAAGCCAGTCATCAATGTTATTCATTACAAACTGTCTGGGCTGCATCATCACACACTGAGCCAAAGCCTTCAGGGACAGCCTGTCCTGTGTCCTGTGACTGCTAAAATTGCAGTTCACATGAAAGAACGCCTGTAAAAAAATTTCCAGCAGCCAGGTAGGGTCATTGGAAGACACTACTGCATATGCATTAAGGGCACCCCCACAGTTAGATATGGACGTAAGAGAAACCTCCCTGGTGTATGCACTGGGTGAGCAGCTGTCATTGAAATGAATTAGCTGCCATGTTTGGATTCATCATCCGTTGTTTAACACATCCATGAGCCAAAGCCATTTCTCAAATGCCACCAGAGACAAACGCATCAGATAATTATACAGTGATAACTCTGAATCATCTTATCTTCGACTATAATTATGGAGATAATCCTTAGGCATAATGTATGGGCTTATGGCTTCGAAGCCATGTTATGAGAAGGTGATGTTTCCCTAAGTCTCAACACCGTGCTCGAGGAAAACTATAGATGGATGAGCAATAACATAGCTTTAAAGGGTAACTTTTTTTTTAACCTGGATCCCATTTTCCCATGTTCTTGTGAAAGTAAGTGACTAACGGGAATACCATTTTTTGAAATCAGTCCAGTATTGAGTGAGAGTGCTGTAGCTGGCAGCCGCAAAACAGGCTGCAATGTAACCACATGGGGCATTTGTGCACCGTCAATTTACTTCCACTAAAAGTGCTGTTTTTTGCTACTGACGGGCTCAAATTGTTATTATAAGTGTCTGGCAACATTATGGAAAGGATCCCTACCGTGATAGACCTTTCCTGTTCAAGAGCAGGATCCTTTTGCCACCACCAAACCCACCAGACTCCATTTAAGTAAACAGTCATTTTAATGTGTATACAGCCAGCATGTTTTCACATCTAACTGAGTGAATTAATACATTAATTCAACCAAACCAGAGCTGGTCATTGTTGGAACAATGCAAAGATGAACCAAGATGGGATTTTGGGTTTTATTTTTTTTTTTATTTTCTGTGGACTTTAAATGAAGTGTGTTTTATGATAATAAAATTACTGTTTGTTAAATGGAGTCTGGGGAGTTTGGCGATAGCGATTTCGGGTTCGTTTCTGGTTCAACAAAAAGGATCTTCCTCTACTACAAAAAGGTTTATCTCTGTTGGGATCCTTTCCATAATGTTATGAGACACTTAGAACAACAATCTGAGCCTGTCAGTGGCAAAAAACAGAACTTTAAGGCGATGTCAATCGGCGCTGCACAATTGCTTTAGAAATTTCCATTGCAGCCTGTTTCACTGCTGCTCTTGCTTAGTTCTGGACCACTTTAAAAAACTGTTGCCTCCATGAGTCACTTGGACACAAAAACATGGGAAAATAGGGTCCAGGTTGAAAAATAGTAAAGTTACCCCTTAAAATAATTTTTTTGGCTCATCACTTCAAGAAGTACCACTGTCTACCTTACCACATCAGCATATTCCAAATCTTTTATCTTTTAAGGAACCTTTTTCTTGTTTTCTGCAGTCAAATGAAATGCTATTAGTGCACTTTAGTTCTGACCCTTGCACTCTTTTAAATTGGTTGCTGTGTTAGTGATCTAGGATTGGAAGCTTAATCTGCTGCTGCACTCAGTGTAAATCACAAAGTAAATCCTTCAACTAAATGACTAAAATGCACATATTAAAAAGAAAGTGTCATATTAAGAACCACATTAAATCCACAACAACTGAAAGTGATGATGGGTTGGATGAGACTGAATTAAGGTCGTTAATAAGAATCAAAAATAAAACACACTGGGTCTGTATTACTAGTGACGGACTATAGTTCAGGTTCATCCGTGGTTCTTCTCCTTTTTTCTAGAAATGCTTTTAAGAGGCTCAAAATAATCTGCCTGGTTCAAGACAGAATGAGTGAAAAGGTGGCTGAGCCTGCTGGTGCAGGATTGGCTGTGGACTCTTTGGTTTGTCCCTCAGCCCACACAGACTTTGACCCGGGTAAGAGGGAAAGCTTGGCTTACATCCAACGCTCGCCCTGCACTCTACTGATGTCTACTGTGCTGCTGCTTGGCACACTGCAGCAACGAGACACAGCAGCACGTGGCCCCTGACACACTGTTACACTACAGCTCAACACAGTACAGTTGCTGCATTGAAAACTCTGCTGCAATGAGGGACAAAAGAGCAACAAAACATTCAGCAGTGTGGTTTGTTTTAACTAAGCGCCTTTCTTATGTCGGCATGTGATCTGTATTGTTATCAAGATGTGTATAGCTTTATCACACCTGCTGCAAGAACACATGTATCTTCTCCTCTCTGTCAGCTGTCACATTAACTACTGTGTATGTACTGCCTCCAAACAATTCAGATGTTTGTGGAGCAGCAGATGTATGAAATACTGCCCTGCTGGGCGTCTCACCTGTCACTGAGGACGGCTCCTTCGGCTCCCGGGGGAGCGATGGACAGCTGGAAGGGTGTGTTGAAGTAGTGCTGCTGCTCGTCAGAGCGGTGGACCACCTCCCCTCCCCGGACCACCAGGAAGCCTGAGTCTCCCAGGTTGGCTGTGTGCAGCCGGTGACTCTGCCGGTCTAAAACCACAATGCAGGCCGTGCTGCTGCCTACAGACGCACACAGACACAGATATACATTTATTTTCAATTTAAATGCAAATGTTGTAACAACTATACTACAGAACATTTATGACAAAACAAGAAAAGTATTGAAAGAATTGATATTTTGGAAATGTATAGTCTTTAGGCCCATTTTGTGTTGTTTTAATTCAGATCAGATGTGTTTGGTTATATTCTACTACAGCCTACAGCCATGTAGTGATGGGCGAAAAAGAAAAAATAATTTTTTGGGAGGTCAGCCTATTACATGTCGGAGTGCTCATGAATACCTGACTTTTCCCACTCATCCACTCACTGTCATTGTTACTGCTCACGCTGCCTGCTACAGTGAGTGAACCAGAGGCAATTAAATCAAACTTGGGTCGAAACCTTCGCCAGACAAGGCCGATGGTGCAATCACATCCTCCTTGGATGGTTGTTCTTTCAACAACGGTGTGTTCATTGGTTTTACGTTGAAATGCTGAAATAACATGGACGCCATGAGTGTAGTGCTATTTGTTAATGTACCAGAGTGCATCTATGACCCGTGTGCATGCATGCCTTATCTTTACTAGCTTACAGTCAGCAGCTATAGACTGAGAATTTTTTTTTAATCCTTTTTGCCGCTAAACGGCTATCCCCTTAAAGTTTCTGGCAGCTACTGGCAACTTTGTAGATGGAAATGTTTCCTTGCATGTTACTTGATGCATGTCGATGACAACTTTAACCATTCCATTTGTTTTTATTGCCTCTCTTGAATGACATACACTTCAGTGATCATCAGATCTTAAAGAGCTCTAAAAAATTTGATCAAATTCAACATGATTATGTAAACTGCGAATACTCTATTTCCTCGCTTGGTTAAAAAAAAGTGTTGGAGCGTCATTCCAGTGTGCTCCGGCAGCAACACATCCCTGATTGACACTACAAAGAAGATGTGTTGTATTTGACTGCTCAGAGCTAAACAACATACTGATAACAAAGAGCAAAGGAGACATGAAATATGATCGGGAGCATATTTTCCGACACCACGTGAATGCAGCACAAGGCTTCAGAGGTAACTGGGACGCCTGTTACTTGACACTCGAAGAACAAAGATCATAGGTCAGTGACATTTTTGTAACACCATATTGAGCTTATATAACCTATGCACATGCAAGTGAGATGCTGAATCAACGCAGAAAATTAATATTTGATCTTAATAAATGTAAACTTATACATGATGATTGGTAACACACTGATTATAAGTTTTAATATAAGTTTCGTGGGGCAGGCAGCACTAACTGTCAGATGTGCATGTACTGTAATGGAGTGTCATGGAGAAACTGACACCATAGTTTGTGAAAAAGTTTACAAACATGAAAGTTAGATACACTTATATGTATCAATTATAAGGAGCCGATGCTGTTAAAAAAAATCTGTCTGCCCATCACTACAACCATGCTTAGTGGATAGAAATTTGCCATTTGTTTTTTTCCGATAAAGTAATTTCCTGAACAATGCCTGCATGAAAACAAAGCTGTACGCCTCTAAAAACAGTCTTTCCCTCCTGACTGTCAACGGCAACAAAGTTTCAAATTTTACTCTTTTTTATGGAAAGATACCTATCTAAAGTGTTGGAAACTGATTAATGAGGTTAGCCAGAGTACACAAGCTTTCACAATCAGTGTAGCGGTTTTTAAGAATTTTTAGAGCCCGCCATCTGGGAGATGGTAAAGGGGAAACATGATCTGGTGGAGCAGGCAGACAGTGTGCAGCCACACCCTGCTGGTGATTCATACGGCACACTAAAATATGCTCTCTGGGATCAACCTTCAAAACCCCTCACGCACTGTGACTCACCCCCTTTTTTTCCTCTGTTTTCTCTCTGGCAGCACAATTACACACGCTGCTGGCCTGAAGAACATTCTCTCTGCTGTGAAGGAACAGCACAATACAGTGTTGTTTCCCCTGCTGCACATGTGATAACGGGGTGGAAAAGTACTGACACTCGCAGAGACAGAGAACTGTTCCCAAAACATTTATTCGCCAACATGACACGTTTGTGCATGCTGTGTTGTCGGGAAGCAGTGCAAAGGAGGAAAGGGATTCTGGAAGTGAACTGCAAGGGGCAGGTCGGGACATGGGACATTCCCAGGACTTCGTTATGGGATTTGTCTGTTCTGACTCATGATGAAAAAATCTCCATCCAGCCGCCGCTCAACTGAACAGGCGAAATGAACAACCTAACCCTAAACAGTGTGCTCAGATCCAAGCCACATGGAAAATATTCTGTTTTATTGGCGTGCACAGTATGCGTCTACGAGCATTAGTTGAACTGTACTGTCCAGCAGAGTGTAAGGCATAGATCTTAATTAGTTTAGTGTGGGCTTTTAAACAAGGCAAGAGGCACTGAGTGGGAAACCTAGGAGTGCCCAAGTCTGCAGCCCTACAATAACATGTTTAATACAATGGTAATGTAATGGTTGAGGAGGAGAAGGAGACGTTGGCAGTCTTCTTGTACTCATCAATCTAGATAAACACACAAGTGTGCCGTAATGCACTAATAGGGTCCTTCTGTCTACTTTAATGTGTACTTAGTACAAGTGGAGGTAGACATGACTCTCTCTCTATGAACACTGAGATCCTGTGTTTCCAGTGGCTGTACTCACCCAGCAGTGGCACTTTGTTCTGAAGCAGCTCGTAGTAGCTGGTCGTGAGGACTCCCACTGGGTTGCTGGGGACAAAGCGTCCTTCCTTTACCAGCCTCTCACATGTCTTCATCAGTGTACCTGAAAACTGCGATGGGTCTACTCCATAGTCTCGCCAGCCACCCACTCCATCTGCTACACCTGAGAACAGACGTGTTGTTTAATGATTGGAATTAATCATTTTCACCTTAATAGCAGTTCAACAACTCCCTCTTCCTTCACTAATGAGTATTCTGTATTGTGCATAACGCTGCTTTTTTAACTCCAAAATGGAACTATTTTTTCAACGAGTCAAGTATAACAAACTCAGAATAACAATAATCATTCCTGGCATTGTTCAGACTTGCGCACTAGTGAGGATCTTGCAAGAAATGGCCATGCAGCTGCACAATAAGGAAAAACAATGGCTACTTTCACCAAGATGCAAAAAGGACATCCAGTACAGAAAAGAGACACGTGTTCAAGAATCAAGGAAATGTCACGGAATGCAGAAAAAAGCTTCAGTCGATAAGAAGTTCATCTTTGACCTGTCACTGATTCATTTCTCTAACTGTGTTAAGTGTTTTTTTTTTTTAAGATCATCAGAAGTTAAGAGTTCTTTCAAATAATTAAATACACTTAGATCTTCTTATAGGTGACATAGGTGACACATACACACAATTTGTTTTTGAAAGAAAAAAAAAAAAAGACCACTAGGGAAAAATGATCTTATGGTCTAATGGTCAGTCTGTAGCATGGGTATCATCTCTTCTCCTGGCACTTTTAAGTGTTCAGTGAGTGATCATCACAGTCAGAACATGCCCGAGCATTAATGAGTATGGTGGTGTGGAGTGTATGTGGAGAACATTAGAGTGGGAGAAAATGAAAAGGCAAAAGCCAGCCAAGGGTGCAGTACGAAAAAAAAAAAAAAGACAACTCTTTTGTTTCTTACAAATTACTATTGTGCGACAGCTAAGTTGTTTTCGGTGTGTTGATTTCTCATTACCTCTTGTTCTTGTTTGTAATAAATACAATTATTATAAAAAAGTAATAACACTTTTTTTGGGAGGGGCCGAATCTGCTAGAGCCGACACTGCTTTTGGCTTCAAAACATAAAATCTGTGATTCCCCAAATGCATTGAAACTCTTTCATTAATCTTTTTATGAAAACAGAGTCTGCTGTATAGGTTAATAAGAGCACTTGTTCCCATAGGAGGTTTTGGTCGTCCTTGAAAGGAAACTTTAGTCTTGCTACTCCCAGGACTGACCATACATGGATGGCCCTCTGCATATCCTCAGCCTGTGCCAAAACACAGAAACAGGCCTGCTTAAAGCAGACACACACAACTTTGCAACTAATCAAACCCTTCCAAAAATATCCTGGCCTGGAGAAATGATTTCCTGATTACTACGTTTACTTGTCTGTCTTGATTGACACCATATGCATCAGCACACTGACATGAAGCAGAGCTGCACGGTCCTGCAGAGGGATTAAATGACAGGTTGATTCCAGTTTTCTGTGTGCTGAGGAGCCATTTAAATCAACCCTACATTCAGTATGCCTAGGTTTTACGGGCTGCGTTATTGTTGTTAACCTAAGGCATTGATAGTATGAGGAATGAATTCTCCACACAATATGAACCCAGGAGAAGTTTGAGTACAATCTTACCAAGAGTGAGGATGCGGCATTGTGTCGCAAATAATAGAGTAAAAAATATCTGATCTCTCAGTGGGTACTTCCTTTAGCCTCTAGAACAATATAATGTAAATAGATCGCACGTGCAATCCAACCTGCGTAAAAAAAATAATTCAGCCCTCTTACACCGGGGCTGACCTTTGACCTCCTACACGTCACATCATATGTTATAGAGTGTGATGCCGCATTGATTAGTTAATGTCCCTACAGCAAACAAAAAAAACACTCACCTAACACATCAGCGGATCTGTGCCGGGCGATGAAGCACGCGTCGTCCCCATAGCACATCCCTTTCTTCAGGATGCCTTTACGAAAGTCCTTGCCAAAGCCGCAGCTCGCAGTCACCAGGCTGTAGTCGCGGCTGTCTGTCTGAGAAAGTCCGCCGATGACAGCTCTGGCAACCAGTCTACCGTACGACAGCACGGACAACATCACCTACACACCAGCTCCCACTAAACAAACCGGCCAAGCTAGCAGGGCTGCTAGCTTAGCGGCAGTGTAAGCGCACAATGTTGACTTGCTAGCTTGCTAACGAGGCTGGAGATGTGCGGCGGAGCTAGCCAGACACTGCCGCCGATAACAACAGCCGCCACGCACGCATACACAATGCCTTCAGCTGATATAATAAATACAGACACTGCTAGCTTTGTTCCTGCGCCGTGATATCTAAAAATAAAACATCAGAGAAAACAGTCGCCTGTTACCCTCCGAAAGACCCGTGAGTGCTGCTTCTCCGCGGCCATGGTGCCAGGTCTGCCTCTGAGACACTATATAACAAAGTGTGAACCAGCTGCCCTGTGGCCTCACACACTCCGCTCTGCTAGCGAGGTCTTGTGACTGCTCTGACGTCAGACATCATTACGCAATATATGTTTCCTAATAAGGAAATATCACTTACAGGCAGCGTGTATCTTATTTTGATGTAATAAAACTATGCGTAGAAATGTATTATGGGCAGATACATGTTTCTGAGGACAGATTAACTGTAAATATATATATATTTGAAGCATAGAAATAACATGTTACCTGAGATATATATCATAAACCGACGTGGAGAAAAATAGGCAGCGAAAACAGCCAATTCCCTAAAAGATATATTTAAAAAAAAGTTGTTCTTCTTCATGCCGACTTGTATCGTCTTTTAAATATAATATTTCACATTTCTAGGGCAGCTTGCACATTTTCATAACCGAATTGGATATTGCAGTATATTCTGTCTCCCCCTTGTGGGTGTCGCCTTATGGGAGACCCTTTGTTCAGGAAATATTGTTGAATAACAAGCATTGCATTTTAACCCTTGGTTGAATTAAATCTATGAACTCTGACCACTAAACGTCTCTTTGCACTTGTTGTAATTAATTGTTTTTATTAGATATGTAAATATTTCAGTTTTAGTTGATTTGCCTTTACGATTTGTATTTTAAATTTCTATTGATATACTTGTTTTAATGATTGTTCTGTGCATCGTTTAATCTTCAACTGTGATGTTTTTTATTTTTATACTTGACATCATTGTAAATGAGCGCCTGCCCTAAATCGTTTTTTCAAGTTTGAATAAAGGTAATAATATGAATAATAATTTTGCAATTGTTAATCAGTTTGTATAGTGAATTTTAGACAGCAATAAGTGTGAGAAACATATGTCACTCAGAGACCAACTTCCCCCTAAAATACACTCAAGTTTATTAGAAAGATTTAGACATTACAAGAGTGCTTCTTTATTCATTTAATTTAGCACAAGACTTGTTTAAAAATGTGATGATGCAGTGTAAGGTCAATATCCTATGACACTGACCGTAAATAAACTGAAAATAAAGTTTTACATAAGTAAACAGGTGTTTGTGACTTTTTCCCCCGTTGGTTTTATAGCCATTAATACCCATTACTGACAGAGTGAGGAAAAGATGACAAATGAATAAAACATAAAAGAAACTGGAAAAATTGTGCACAGCTTCAAACAAGGCATTCCTGTGCATAAGTAGCCGTATTGTTACATTTTTCCTGATTGAACAGTCATATGTGGCAAAGACTAGCTGCAAAATGGAGTGCAAAACACCTGAGGTTTTCATGGTGACATATCAATTTACCCCTGTGGACAAAACAACAAAATATTTTGCTTTCATCGGGTAGGAGTGAATATCTTTTCGGTATTGGCAGCATGAAGGATATCCAATCCTTCAAATGCAGAGGACGAAAGCAGAACAGAGGAGTAAGACTCCGGCCATTTGTGTGTCCCCCACGCTCATTTCTTGGCTTGCTTGGTGACCATGTTGCGAGGGGGAGTCACAGGACGGCTGCCGTTGGGCTTCTTCTTCTCAGCTGGTTTCAAAATCTACAAAAAGGAATAGACAGCACTGTAAAACAACTAATAATGGGGCCTTCTTTTTGCAGGTGAGCAAATGTTGACGCAGCACAATTTCAGATTTAAAAAGAAAATTTTGGACATTTGTGATGGATGTTTTTCATACTGTAATATAATTTACAGTAACTCTCAGGTGCAAATAATCCTGCCCCAAAACACTTAACGTACAAGCAAAGGCACCTTACCTGAAAAGAGCACATGAGGGTCTCATCCACACTCATCATGGCACCAGCATTGTCAAACTCTCCACAATAGTTAGGCGCTGAGAACAAAGTGACAAGCTGCCTCTTTGCAAAGAATTCATAGCCATCCTCAACAACCTGCATGAGATTATAATGGTAGAAAAGACAGGTTTACACACCAAGAAAATGACACCTTGAATGGATGTGTTGTTATGAATAGTGTCAGATAAAGTTCTGCACAGTGATTCCCAACCAGATGGGTCGCACCACCCACATCGGGCCGCAAGATGATAAACACAATTAGAAAGCTGAACACATACAGTTCTGCCACACAAAACCATATGTATTTTCAGACCTTCCTCTGGCCCTACCTCTTCAGGTCTTAGTATTTGTAAATGAAACAAGGAGAAAAAAGCTTCTGCTGAACCATCACAACCACTAGACATACTATATGCAACCAGTGATCAGGGGAACATTGCATTATTTCTGAGGGATCACAAGTAAAAAAGGTTGGGAACCACCGTCCAGTACACACAGTATTGTGCCAGTTGTCTGCACAGTGTGTGACGAACTGCAGTCCTTGTATCACTTGTATTCAGCATGTTCAGTGAGCTGCCAATATACAGCCATGTCACAGGTCTGTTTATAATAACAGAGGTCATTGTACTTACCTGATGGGCACGACAGATCAGATCTAGGTCATGCTTGTGCAGGAACTTGGCCACCACCTCAGAGCCAAAGGTAAATGATACACCCCTGTCGTTCTCTCCCCAGCCCAGGACATCCTTGTCTGGGTCAGACCACAGCAAATCGCACAGCAGACCCTGGTCGGGCACGTCAGTGGGGCGCATGATGCGTCTGATTTGCTCCATGGACTGAAGGTCAGGAGACAGCCCTAAATGGAACAGCAGCAAAAGTACAAATAAACACACTGATACCGAGGTCAATACCTATTACACATCGGTATGGCCTACGTCAGTTGACAATGTGCAGAGACAGCATTACTAAAAGACAAATATGAGTCCCATCAAAAGTACACGACTTTGGACATTCTGCACATGTAAAAACAACAGCATAAATGTATAGACTTAAAAAATTGTTTTTTACTACAAATTCATAAATGAAGACCCACCTCCGTGGCAACAAAAGATTTTCTCATCAACAATGGCAGCAATAGGGAGACAGTTAAAACAATCTGTGAAGGTCTTCCAGAGTTTGATGTTGTACCTTCTTTTACCTAAAAATTTCACACAAAAAAAAAGAAATAAAATTCCGCACTGTGAAGGATACAAAAACAAGTAAGAGCATTTTTGTGTGCCAAAGTGCACTTAAACTATACAGTATAGAGTACAAGAGACAAAACACAGAGCTAAAACCACAAATTAACTCAAAGTACTTACTTATTTACTACTGCATGAAACTGATATTAAATGTCTGCAGAAACACAGACATTTAGAAATAATTTTACTGGCCAGAGTGGTACAATACTCACACTCGTCATAGAAACCGTATATTCTGTTGATTGAAGCACACTCATGGTTTCCCCTCAGCAGGAAGAAGTTCTCTGGATATTTGATTTTGTAGGCCAGCAGAAGGCAGATGGTTTCCAGAGACTGCTTCCCCCTGTCCACATAGTCACCCAGAAACAGATAGTTGCTTTCTGGAGGGAAGCCGCCATACTCAAACAGCCTCAGCAGGTCATAGTATTGCCCGTGGATATCACCTGCGTGACAAAGGTATATCAGTGCACCTGCAGCACAGCACCAAAGTGAGTTGTATATAATTGTGTTCTGAATCATAATCATCCCCTTGGTGAAATTTGAAAAAAGGAGCCAGACATGATTATCATAAAACTACATTTGAATATGTATTTATTTCTGATACACAAACAAATCTTACTTACCACAAATCTTGAGAGGGGCCTCCAGCTCGAGAAGAATGGGTTGACTGAGAAAGATCTCCCTGGACTTCAGGCATAATCCACGAATCTCATTCTCCTGCAGCTGCACATTCTTGCCAGGCTTTGCCCCTCTGACTGCAACAAGAAAACAAAAACAAAAGGTCAGCACAAACAACAGTTGAAGCGAAGTTGGCAATGCCTGATACAGTATCTCTATGCTGAGGCAGTGTGGGACAAAAGGGGAACATATAACCGCGCCGGAATACGCAGTACTGTTTGAGATTCACAATTTGTATTGGAACAAGTACATGTCGTTTCGTGCCATTCAGGTACAGTAACAGTCACAACCCAAACACACATTAGGCGAAGAGTATCTAATTACGGTTAGCTAACGTTAACTAATATGGCTGGTTACTTCAAAACACATAAGCTAAAGCTAGACGCGTATCTACTCTTAGCGTTTGTCATAACAGCATGCAGATAACCGAATTAATGTTTTATTTATAAGCAGTATTTCAACATTTCCTTACCTTCTAAAAGTCGTTGGATGATACTGTCTATGTTGAGCTTGTCAACATCAGCCATTGCAGCGTTGGCGTTGATAAAAGCGGTTCAGTCAAATCTAGGTCTTGGCGTTAACACACTTGTGAAAGCTAGCCCGCTAGCTATCCTGGCATTAGCTACCTAATGTTAGCTAGTTGATTTTCCGGCTGAGGGTAAAGATGTTGGTCTGACCCTGCTTCTGTTTAGCTGCTCGTTGACACGTTTAAAATCTACTAAGCTACGTAGACATCACAGTTTTTGGAAAAAACTACATCCAATTTGGGGTTTGAAACAAGAAACAGGGACTAAAAAAATAAACGTCAGCCGGACTAGCTGTTAGCTATCTATGGTGTCCCGTCTGTGTTTTTCTCTGCCGCACCTTGTACAGCTAGCCAGCTGCTTCAAGGAGGCTGCTGCTAGCTGCCCCGCTGCTGCCCCCTGCTGTACCGGATGGAGAATGACCCTGTAACCCATTTAGGGAAAGCTGAGTTATACAGTGTAAAAATACAGGAAAAATATCATCACACCAACTTAATTATTAAGTAGGTGTTATGACCATCGGTTTTAAGGAGCCACTTTGAAGACAGAAATCTTCTTTATTTCCTTTTCATATATAATAATAATACAAAGATCTGACAGTTAGGGCAGTTAGGTATGATCTTTTCACAGTAGTTATTTCATGGTCCTAATTAAGAATGGACATAATAATACTACAGCCAATATTTTAAAACACTGTGATTGCATTGGAATTATTTTTGATGTGATAATCTCAAATGTGTTGGTAGAGCATTTGAAAACAATCTAAATTTAGTTAAGGTGCTAACAACAAATCAAT